TTTCAAATTAATTTACTAAATAAAAGTTCCCACCAAAAAGCATATTTAGACAAAGTAATCAAGTATAATTTAATGTGTGCAAATTAATTTGGAGCCTGACATTTGTTGAACTGCTTCCGACTCAATCAATAGAACATTTGCAAACTTCATCCAACAGGACTAACAAATGTCTACAAAATACTTATAATACTATTACAAAATTCTATATAGGATGTTACTTATAAAAACTAGAACAACTTTACCAATAATAGTTTATAAACATTTGTTTCCTTAGGTGCCTAAAGATTTCTGATTTATAGATTTGCAAATGACATATATCAAAGCCATTTATACTAGAAAAAATGTAATCTGAAAAACTTCACTAGCCCTAAGAATCTCTATTAATTCTAACAAACACAGCCTATCACTCTGAGAATTGAGTATCCTTCTTAACAAAAAAAAAACAAAGCAACTTAGGTTAGGTTAAAAGGAATACTAGAAAGTAATGGATCCCCTTTCTGCTATTATTACTTACATTGGAAAATTAAATTCAGTTGAGTGTTAAATCCTTAGAGACTAGCCTAGCCTCTTTACTCTGCCTCCCGAATTTTGCACCATACCCGAGTACACTGGATTTTCTTTGTAACAAGCAGGCAAGTCAATAAAGATACCCAGTACCTATTATACCACAGGTGATGTTCTGAACAATGCCTGTGCCTAGAATCAGAATAATAAGAAATCAATGTGAGTTTCAAAAATAAGTAAAAATGCTGTAGTATACTGAACACCGCCTACTAGTTGCCAAATGCAGTATTTGTTGAAGATTGTTTAAAAATATTTTCAATAGCATTATTAGTTTATTAAAATTACTTCTGTAGAAGTAACTAAGTATTATTTTTCCCATGCATTTTTTTCCTAAAACAAACAGCATGCTTCAAGTAATTTCTAATGTTTTCTTTTTGATTAAAAGTTACACTGACTTTCATTACAAGAAATGTTTGGAGACTTGCTTCTAACTTGGAATTCTTCTGTTAACTTTAGAAACATCCAAGACATGGAATGATAATTTTGATTTAAAAAATGTATAATTTCATTTCTTAATACTAGGTGATTAATCCTTCTTCTTAATGAATTTTCTTCTCCACAGGAATAACTTGATGTGATTTAATTTTTAAAACTGTGATTCATCAGAAACGTCATGATTTTTCCCAAACTCTGTTAGTACAGGACTATCCTAGTTAACAACTGCTGTCCAATATTTTCTATAGTCACACTTACAGAGAAAGTGCAGATCATTTGTAAACCCAGGCTATTAAACAGAGGGGAGTATCATAATTCACATACAATATCTGTAGGTCAAAAGAATGCACACACTGAAATACCAAACTTTCTGGGAAGCTCCCTCTCGTGTCTCTTTCATACCTGTTATTTAAGTTTTAATGTTGAATTAAATATTAAGTCCACAAAATCAGACTGTTTCAAGAAAAATGTGATAATGCCTCTATAAAGGTACCCAATTACTCCATTAAGAAGCAGTACTAAGTATTTCTAAAAAATCAGATATTTTACTAAAAATTAAAATACTTAAAGAGGAGATAACACATGATGGTATCATTATCATGATAGTTAAACATTTACAAGGTGAGGAAACTGCATAAAACTTGTATCAACCAACATGCCAGCCCCAAGTACAAACCTATACACAGACACACATGCATGTACACCCACAAAGCTTGACTGTAGTTATGACAACTTTCTAACAAAACCACAGGCATTTTATTCAAAGGATGCTAGAATCACAGAGCTAATGTACACTTGTAAAATGTCACTAGCTGGGCCAATTAAAATTATTTTCGAAACCTTTCTGAACTGTCAACAAGTTTTAAATAGAGAAGCACATGCAATTCAACAGACCCAATTACACATCCCCAATGAAACTGAAGTCACTCTATGTGAAAACGATGCACTTAATCTTCACAAAATGGCTGTGAAATTTTGTTGCATACATAGGTCTCCTTTCAAAGAAATCAAAACTAACAGACCAGCACTATGCTTTAATATTAACAGTTAGATGGTTTCATCTGTGCAACATCCATTCCAAATTCAGCTCTAAAAGAGCATGTTAATTAACACACTCAGAAAACTCCCCTAAAGACCTGCTACGGACAAAAGAAATGCCTTGATCCCAACCCATTTGCGCATCTGCCCCTCTTAGGACGCATTAATTTATTGCACAAAGGTCGTTTTCATGTCTCCATATTAAAAAAATGCCTGAACCACCCCCCTGCTTCCGACAGAGGTACTGGAGAAGTGATGATTCCTATAAAGAAAAGAGAAGCTCTCTCTGTAAAATGCCCTGCATGTCCCTGATCCCACGTGGAGCCAACATCAGCAGCGCTTTCCCATTAATTTCAAAGGGATGCAAGACAAGGCATCAATTATTTTATATAAATAAAAGGCAAAGGCAGCAGACTGCATTCTTCAGGGTACCCAAGCAGGTGAACCAAGCATGCCAGTGAAATCACAAGCCATCCACAGAAGAGGTGCCCTTGCTCTAAGGCTCTCTCTGTGGAGCATTACCTCAACCCCACACTACTCGGAGGAATCCAACAGAGGTGGGAGCCACCAGGAAAACTTGAAATCAAAGGCAGTGAAAATGTGCATCATAAACCGGAAAGGTTTATTCTCTGCTTCACACATCCTAATTAGATCAGGAAAGTGACACTACAAAAGTATTGCATTCCAGCCAAAAAAAAGAGAGAGAGAGAGAAAGAAAATTTAAAAACCCTGGCATACCAAGAGCATTGAAAAGGAAGTTGTAAAGTAGCAAATACAACATTTATCTTATCTAGGATCACTCCACATTACCCCAAAGTTGTGCAAAGTTCTGCACTACCCTCTCCCCCTACCCTCCTCTCCTGAAAAAGATTTTCACGGTTTCTCATTGTCGGTGGTGAGCGAGAAGAGGCTTTTTCGCCCTTCCAAAAAATAAAAAAAATAAAAAGAATCACCCCCCAAAAAATAAAAGAATATTGATTAACTCCTTGCTCCCTGAAACCTCCAAACGGGTGTGCAAGGAGGCGGGTTCCATCCTGTTACCTTCAGGGAGAAAAGGGGGAGCGGCCCCGATTTTTAGGGATTTTTTGGGAATTTTTTCTCCTTTTTATTTTGTTATATGCCTCAGTTCTCCCTCCATTTTGGTTGTTTATGATACTGACAACAAGCTGTCCCTGCTCGCTCACTCGCTCGCTCTCTCTCTCTCTCTCCGGATCTCTCCTGCTTTCAGTTAGCAAAACCCCCCTCCCCAATGCAACGAGCTCTCAGCCCTCGCTCGAGTTCACACTTTCCTCCCAGCCCGGGGGAAGGAAAAGGCGCCCGGGCCGCGGGCAGGGGCAGGGGCAGAGCAGGCGAATTCGTTTCTTTCTGAAGAGGGGGAAAGGAAGGGGAAAAAAAAAAAAACTTTTGTCCTGGGAGCCGGAGGGGGAGGGGGGAGCGCCCCAAAAGAGCCTCTCCTGCCCCCCCAAGCGGGAGCGGGGGGCTCGGGGCCGACCCTACGGGCCGAGGGGACGGCAGGGCACATTTCTGGGCGAAATCGGGCCATCTGCAAGGCGCGGGGGAATTTATATTAATTTTTTCCCCTAATTTTTTTTTTTGCCTCTGTGAGTGCGTGTGCGTGTGTGTGTGTGCGTGTATGTGTGTGCGCGCGCTGGGAGCCGCGGGCTCTAATGTCTTCCGCTGCCTCTTGCTGCTGTCACTGTATTCACAGCACAACGCTGCAGGGAGGGGAGGAGAGGGGAGGGGGGGGGGCTGAGAAGGTGGAAAGAAGAAGAAAGGGGAAAGTTTTGCTCGCACTTTCCCCCCCTCAGCGGAGCAGGGCTAGGCGGGGAGGGGGGGAACTCGCTGCCCGCCCTCCCCGAGAGCGACCTCCCCCACCCCCGACCGCGACCCGCGCATCGCGGGCGGCAGCTGCTGCCCTGCACGGCGAGGACCCCCCAGCCGCAGGCGCGCGGGGACCCGCAACCGGGCCGG